CCTTTCCTGGAACTCACTCTGTAGCCCAGGCTGGCCTCGAACTCACATGTGCTGGGATTAAAGGCATGCACCACCATCAGCCTGCTTTCTTATAGAACCTAGAACCACCAGCCCAGGGACAGCATTACCCACAGTGGGCTGGGCCCTCCCCCACTGATCACTAAATGAGAAAATGCCTTATAGCAGGATCTCATGGAAGCATTTCCTCAGCTGAGGCTCCTTCTTCTCTGATGACACAAAACCAGCCAGGACACCTAGGTTGTCAGCCATGTAGGTTGCAGTTCTTTTCTGTATGTGGTTGTGTGTGCAGGATGACAGCCATGTTTATGGTCATGGTTGTGGAGGCCAGAGGTTGGCATTGGGAGTTTTCTTCTCCTGCTGTAGCTCTCCAAATTAATTTTTGAGACAGCCTCTCACTGATTATTGAGGATGATGGGCAGTGAGTTCTTCTTGGTCTTCAGCCCTCTGTCCTGCCCCAGACCTGGGGCTGTAGATAGGTTCTTACGTGGTTGTGGGGTGGTGGGACTCAGTCCTCATACTTGTGCCGTAGACACTGCCCACTGAGCCATCTCTCCAGCCCTCCTCCTTTTAATGCCAAGCCAAATAAATTGTTCATAGTAATTTCTACATTGTTCTTCCTTCGGAAATGAAATGGAGAAATAGGTGTGGTTTGGCTTTACCCCCAGAGTGCTGCTTCTTTAGTCAGTATGGAACTAATGAGTTAGGATTGGGTTATTTTTTGGTGGGGTTGGCATAGGGTGGAGGTAATAAAAAATTTAGGTACTACATGAAGGTTGAAAGATTGTGCATATGCTATCTGTATTTACAAACTTATTCACCACTGTTTTTGATAATTCACTTACCAGCACTATTTCGGGTAACTATATAGTATTCTGTTTGTGAGTGTCTTTCCCCTGGTGATTGGCATGTAGGCCGTGGTCAGACTTTTACCACATCTTTGTTGTGTCTGTTGTCTTTTGCCAAGGGTCTCAAAACTGATGGCCGCCCCAAGAGCACAGGCGTCTTCCAGGATGAAGAGCTGCTTTTCAGCCACAAGCTGCAAAAGGACAATGACCCAGATGTTGATCTTTTCTCTGGCACCAAAAAAACCAGGGTTAGTTCCTTCTAGTCCCCTGTTAGAGCTTGTGTGGCTCGTGGTGTAGGTGGTTCACAGTGTGGTAAATGGCTCCACTTTGAGATGTGTAATCTGCGTGTGATTTCTTTCAGTTGTCAGTGCCCCGTGGTGGGAGCCTGTTTGGTGATGATGAAGACGATGATCTTTTCAGCTCTGCCAAGACTCAACCTGTGGTACCAGCTTTTTTTTCTCAGGCTTGGGGAGGATAGGAAATGAAAGTTTGGCTAAGATGAAGAAATTGTAAGGCTTCCTAGTAAATGAGTAACAGATAATAGATGGGGCAGTATGTACATAGGGTGTGGCTTTCAGTTCACAATGCTAACTGATCCAGAGTCTCAGATTGTGGTGCAGACCTGGTTGATTTTTAAAGAGTTTATTGGAGGACGCTTGCATATAATATGGACTACATTTTGTTCCTTTCAGATGCAGACCTTTAAATCTGAGTTTTAGTCTGTGTGTATTTTTCTCCTGCTGTATTAGGGTTTGTATACTTTTTTCCTTTTTATTGCAGAAAGGACTCCTGTGTAAGTCACAGTCTTTATTTTTTTCCTTAAAACCTGTGCATGCCAGGCCATCCTTCTGCCACTGCCACTGAGCTGCATCTCAGCCCTAGAAAAACCACAGTGCTTAGGATGCTGTTTCTGAAATGCCACCTATGAGTTGGCTAATGGACTTTCAAAACCCACAGGCCAGGTTCCTGTTTTCAGTATTGTTTAAAATTTTGAAGATACATGATAGACTCTGATTTTTTTTTCTTTTGAAGGTACCAGAAAAAAAGGGATTACTGAAAAAAGACCACCCTGTTTCTTTAAAGAGTGAGAAAACTCCTGAGTCTACTCAAGGTAGCAAAGAGAAAAGCTTATGGAAAGCAGAAACACCACAGGTTAGAACTCTCCTCAAGGGCGTTCAGCTCTTACCTCGTCCTGCTTAGACAGTTCCTGGCGTAGAACTAGGGTTGCTCAGAATTCTTCGTTAGAGAGGGACTAGCAGCCAGCACCCTCCCTTTCACTCTATCCTTTTATCCCCACTTTTTTCCCCACTTGAGAGACCTGTGTATGTAATCATTACTGTATTTAGAACAAATGCCAAGTTCAGTTTCCAGTTTGATGTTCGGATAAGATAAGAGATCATTTTTCACTAGTGCCTCCATTTCTCCCGCAGGGCTTCTTCATTGGAGTAGAATTATATTCTAATTAATACAAATAACGTCTGCTTTCTTGGTTCCTCCTCAGGGTCACTGCTCCAAGATAGTTGCTGTAAAACCTCCCTTCTGGGAGTCCTCTCAGTATCATGAGGGGCTTTTTCACAAAGGGAGCCAGACAACTGCAGTTGTCTCTGGAAATTTCACTGAGGCCCCCATGCCTGCACTTGGAGGCACGTGGTTAGCATATCTCTTACCTCATCTGGAATTGAGATGCTTCTGTATTTAGAACTTGTGCACCAGGCCGTGGGGAGCTTGTGTGCTTTTTTGGTATTTGCCATGTTGGATAACTCATCATGGTATGTTGGAACAAAACTACAGCTCTGCTCTTACTCACCACCAGAGTCCCCCTTTCCTGCTTGTGCCTGTCCTGTGATGGCCTTCCCTCCTCCGTTGGAGGAGGCATCAGTGAAGTAATGCTAGCAATTGAGTGAATGCTGTGAGGCTCCGGGCCAGGGTTACAGAGCTGCAGACAGGGACAGCTTTGCTCCATCACAGATTTACTTACAGATATGAATGTAATCCAAGACACAGTTTGTTTCCTGTTCCCTCAATGGATTTTTAACTAAATTTAATTTCACACAGGATTCTTCAGGTCTCACTCCATTTAAAAGCAGAGAGCCATCCAGTCGGATCGGGAAAATACAAGTAATTATATTGGATCTGGAGTCTTCATTGCCTGCCTGTGGCACCTATAAAATTTGTGGATTTTCAGTTTTTTCAGCTGCTACCAAGCATTCTCTCATCTCTTCCCCTGCCAACACCATACCCTCCACCCTTGCCTAGTTGTTGCTTCTTATGCACTGCTCTTTAATGTCTTTTGATCCCAGTGATGGGCACAAGTATGTGCCCCACTGAGCCTGGATCAGGTGATTTTCCTACATTTATATTCTCTTGTATTCTACACTGTGTGCAACACAGATATCATGTGTCACAGAATTGGTAATCTGCCCCTGTGTTTAAGTACAAATACTGAGTTCTGTTTTTCTTCTTTAGGCAAATTTAGCCATTAACCCAGCAGCCTTGCTGCCCACAGCGGCTCTGCAGATCCCAGGAACAAAGCCTCTTTCATCTGAACTAGCTTTTCCTTCATCTGAACCTGGAAGGAGCCACGTCCCGGAACGTGTGCCCACTCTTCCTGGGAGTGAGGAGGCTGGTGTCAGTTTCGATCTTCCAGCCCAGGCAGACACCTTACACAGTGCAAACAAGGTGATGCAACTGTCTTCTGTTTGTTTGTTTTTCTGTGAACCAGGCTAACCTGACTACTGCTTTCTAGACCAGTCTGCAGTCCAGCTTCCCGTCTCCACCTGAGGGGCACTCACCCTTCCTCCTGTCTGCCTCTCTCCATTTCCTAATGGTGCTTCTGCTTTTCCATTACCCACTTCTGCTTTCCCACTGATCTTTAAATATGGTCACACCAGGCCCTCAGTCCCTAGTAACGTGCTGTGTCCTGTTGCTGCCCGCCAGCCCTAGTGCTTTTCCCACAATGCTCTGGAGCACCACGCCATCCTTACTTCCGTGGTTTCCCTGCTTCCTGTGGCTTGGGCCCTCTTCTCTGGGATCCCAAGCAGTTCCTGCCCACTAGGAAAGTTGTTGCAAAGGATGTCCTTAGTGGACTTCAAATGAACTCTTAGAAGTTTTCTTTTTCTCTCCAATCTCCCTTCTCTCTGAAGTCTTAACAGGTGTCCAAGTAGGCAGCAGGACCCAGGATGACCTGTCCCTGGATGATAAATAATTTTTAGTGTTTTCAGGTTTATTTTTCCTGTGTTAAAAAAACCAAAAACCAAAAAGCTCTTGTTGTTTTTGTTATCTTTCAAGCTTAAATTAGCTACTTCCTAAAATTGTTTTTTTTTTTTTTTTTTTTTAAAGAATATCTTTTATTTATTCTCTGACAAGTTCTCACATTGCATGCGATGTGTCTTGGTTATATCTACCCTCAGCTCAGGCTCCCAGCCTCATTACTCAAAGCTTCCTAAAATCATGATATTTCTTTGAAGCAAACAGACACAGTTAAGTATTTTGTCCAAAATAGGTTGTATCTTCTCAAACAAAACATACCTTTTTATTTTGGAAAATATCAGAAATATTAAATCTTAGTTATTAAGAAGCTCCTCTTTTGAGGTTCTACCAAAGGTTCTCATGGGCAGCCACATTTGACATACAGCATCCAATACTTGAATTGGTGTCTGTTGACGTAGAAAACACAGCGCCCGTCAGTTGCTTCTTTCTTACGCCGTATCTCCTGCCCCTAGACCCTCATAACGCTGGCGCTGGAACCCCTCTCAGTCCTTTTCTTTCTTTTTTTTGATGAGGTGCCTGGCTTTGAATTAAGGGGTGAGGAGGTGCTGGCGTTTGTGTGTGTGTGTTTTGAGTCACAGCACACCAGCACTCCTGTTTTCTGGGGTTCCAGCAACATTGAAGCTCTTTTGCATGAAACTGTTGTCAAAAGATTGAAGTACAGGAGGAGGAGGTGGTTTAAGAGGTGAAGAGCACTGCCTGCTCGGTCAGAGGACCTGGGTTCAGTTCCAGCACCCACACAGCTGCTCACAGTTGTCTGTGACTTCAGTTCCAGGAGATCTGATGCTCTCTCACGCCTCCTCAGGCACTACAGGGATGCAGTATGCAGGCATCTATGCAGGCAGAACACCAATATACATACACTAAACTAAAATATATTTCTGGAAAAAAAAAAAAAGCTTGGAGACAGAGGATACTAAAGGGTTAGGAAAGACTGAGTCCTGGAATAGTAGGAACTGGTTAACTCCCTTTTAGAAATCTTGAGGGCTGGAGAGATGGCTCAGTTGTAAAAGGCTGGGCTCACAACCAAAAAGACATCTTAAACAACTTTATCTTTCCCTTAGGTCAGTGCTTCTCAACCTGTGGGTCATGAACCCCTTGGAGTCCCATATCAGATATTTTTCATTATGATCCATAACAGTAGCAAAAGTACACTTATGAAGTAGCATGAAGAACTATGCTAAAGGGTCGCAGCATTAGGAAGGTTGAGAACCACTGGCTTAGGTGACACCTAGTTGAAGCAAACCACATATGGTTTTTTGAATTACTGAGTCTTTGCTGTGTTAGCCTTGAACTTTTTCCATTAGATCATGGTGTGGTGTGTGTGTGTGTGTGTTTGCCTTTGCAGAGTCGTGTTAAAGTGAGAGGAAAGCGTAGACCACAGACCCGTGCTGCGAGGCGGCTGGCTGCCCAGGAGTCCAGTGAAAGCGAGGACATGAGTGTCTCCAGAGGACCCGCTGCACAGTTGGCCAGTAGTCCCGTCTTACCAAATGGCCATCAACCTCAGCTGCAGCCCAGGATGGCCAGTGAAGAGATCAGCTCTGAGAAAGCCGTGGCCCCAGCTGCTCCACCTTGGGAAAGTGGTCCTGCATTGTCTGGAGGAGACAGAAGCTTTTTTGTGACTTCTCTGCCTCAGACTGGAAATGAGGCTGACCTGTTTGATTCAGGGGACATCTTTCCCCAGAGCCTAGGATCACAGTCCATGGAGGGAACAAAAGTCAAGGCAGCAGAGACCCCAGCCCACTTGTCAGGAGGAAGTAAAGAGAAGAGCCTTGTGTTTCCTGTTCTCAGTGAGGCCAGCAGTGCTGATGATCTCTTCCAGACTGTCAAACCAAGACCAACAAAGAAAAGAAGCCCTTTCCCCCTCCTTGAAGATGAGGATGACCTCTTTGCAGATCAGAAAGGCAAAAAGAAGGAGTTGAAACCTGACAGCCATCAGGACAACATATCAAAAACACAAGACATTTTTGAGGTAACAAAAATACTTCATGTCTGGGTCTTTAAGGAAAGTAGATGATTGGCTTCTTGAGCTATAGAGTATGCGTGTGTTGCTTGTCTGCTGTCTACTTGTTTATTAATCATGATTAAGTCTCTTGTTAATAACACTAAGGATATTTTTTACTGCCTTTAATCTTTGTTATACGCCTTGAATTATTTAAAAAATGTTATTGTTGTCCTGGGGATAAAGCCCAAAACCCAGTACATGTTAGCCACAGCTTAAGCCTTGGGCT